CGCCAAACCCGCCCGGAGCCCTTGGAGCCCCGCGTTAGCAGCGCTGCCCTCGGAAGATGCCGTTTTGCCTGCGCACCAGCGGCCCGTTGGGCCACCTTTGGCTGTGGCTTCAGCTTTTCCTGCTTTATGCCTGGCCAGTCTTGCTTACCTGCGAGGTAAACTTGCAGATCAAGATTTGTTGTAGGTACCAAGTACGGAAAGTCTCTAATAATGACCAGGCTTTAAGCAGTCGTTTTACTGTCGCTTCTAACCCTTCTCCCTTCTAAAGAAGACAACTTATCAGTCAGAAGATATCTTTCACAGATTTAAACAGCCAGTTCCTGTGCTTGCCTGGCCAGTCTTGCTTACCTGCGAGGTAAACTTGCAGATCAAGATTTGTTGTAGGTACCAAGTACGGAAAGTCTCTAATAATGACCAGGCTTTAAGCAGTCGTTTTACTGTCGCTTCTAACCCTTCTCCCTTCTAAAGAAGACAACTTATCAGTCAGAAGATATCTTTCACAGATTTAAACAGCCAGTTCCTGTGCTGCTGCAGGCATATTCTCCTTTCCAGTGATCTTTCAGCCATGGAAAGCCCGTGCAAACAAAAGAGTCCTGACTCAGTGTATAGGAGAAAAGATGAATTAATGATAGGGAATACCTAGAACGTGTGTTAAATATTTTCTGCATATTGATACACCAAGTACTGTGATGTGGGCAGGTAGGCACAATCATTCAAGATTTAGCCCTAACTGTTGTGATTTTCAGTTGCATAATGTTGGAATGTGTTTATTTTAACCTAAGCATTCTTTCTCCTACCTTATCAGCTATCCTTTCTTATTCCTTTGTAGCTGTTATCACAGAAGTATTTATTTATAGTTCTTTCTTTGCAGGCCAATATTCTACACAAAGTAAGACTGAATAACATGCACATGCTGATGACTGGAGGACAGACTGAAGGACATCATGTTTTGCTTTAGCGTTATTACTACTTGGGTGAAATGAAGAGTTGGATTCTGTTTTGGGAATATTCAGATTTCTACCTCATCTAAACTTCACTGGCTCTTTCTGCAGTACAGGTTTCAGCAAATGATTTCTGTTTTTTTAAACAAAAATGCAGAACTTGTCACTAGTAGAAAGTCTTAGTAATGCAGACAGGTTACACTGGATGTCTCTGAAAGATCTAGCAGCTGATGTAAGTGATATGTCTCTCCACGAAAGTGACTGTAACTCAAATGAAAGGAGAAGAATAATGAATATGAATAATGAAGAAATGATTAATCTTGAAGTAATGCAGCAAAGCCTCCCTGTAGTGAATAGCAAAGGAAGAAGTTGTGAGGGGTTTTCTGAGGGTGGTCATAGTACATTAGAACCCAGTGGTTCCTGGGGTGATTTTGAAGGCTTCAGGGAGTCCTTAGATAAATCAGAGATTTTCAGTCATAATCGTGAAGTTCTGACGAAGTCAACAAAAACTTCTAAAGGTGATAAGGACTTGTGCAGAGGACGTTGTGGTTCTTCTGTTAGTCGCTTTTGCTCTGAGCCATCTCAACGCGCTGGGAGACAGGAGGCTTACAGCTGTATGAATGAGGTATGTGCTAACAGTAAACCAAAGAATAAAAGTGTTTGTACCACTGCTTCCTACATCCAAAGACTTGTATCTGAATGTCCTCTATATGAAGGATAGAGGGATAGAAATTGCCGAGCCACTTTGCAGTTAAGTGGAACACAAGCAACTTCTTTAGCGTTTAACAAATACTTAGGTTTTCCTGCTGGAGAGCTTTAAAGGATGTAACAGGTTGTTTGTCTTCTAGACACTAGCAATACATAAGCCTTTAGAAACCATGAACCTTGCCCTGAAGCACGTGCAATTTACAAGTTGTACAGAATGGGCGCAGGAAACAACTTGGGAAGATGGGTGACAGGAAAAATAAGATGTACAAAAATCCTATGAGTTGTTTGCAAGCTTATGTAAGTAAACCATTTTTAAAATTAAGTCAGAAATTGACAACTTCTATATTTAATGCACTGCCTGAATAACCTTAACACTGGCATTTTAGGTTAACTTCTACCCTCAATAAATCTGACACAAATAATACAGAGAAATAACTTAATAAATATATTTCACTTTCTAGCATAGGAGGTTACATTCTCTCACACAATGTTAGATCTAAATATTTGATTAAATGCTAAATTATATACTACCTTCATTTTGGCACCATAAAATTCAGTTCAACGATTATACCATGTTCCAATTAATGTGTTTTAATGCTTAGCAAACAAAATGAAGCAAACTAGCGAAAGGAAAATAAGAATATCCGAATACAAAACAAATTCATAACTACTCATTCATACTACTTTTATCGTAAATTAAAACATTTCTTTAACAAAGAACAATTAACCAAAACTTTCATAGAGTTAATCAGTAGCAATAATAGTTTACCACTTCTAGTCTGTTAGAAGGTGAGTTTTTGAAATGTCTATGGAAACGGAGGGCTTTCTAGAGGCAGGCTTTCTTGTACTTGATGGGGAACTTTACCTGTTGCAGAGGTCCTTGATGGGGGAAAGCATGAGGATGCTTGTGGAGTGAGCTGTAGCGCTGATAGAATGGAGATCAGAACATACCTTGTGTTATTAGTATGCATAAGCAGAGAGGAACTAAACTGTACTGCTTAACGTTAGGACAAGAAGTCTCACGTTGAAAAAGCAGAGTATGTAATGACTGGAGCTGAAATAGAATACAACAGATTGCTTTTGAAAGGAAATTCAGCAATACATCTTCATGTTACTGAGGCCTTTGCTTTATTTTTGCATTTCTTAAAAGCAAAGGGAGATGTCCAGTATGCACTAAATAACTTAGTCCTGCCCTGAGTTTTGAGTTTTCTTTTCTCAGAGTAGACAAGCAGCAATAGGGCTGCTGAAGATTTCTTCAGACATATAATACACATGTAGCTTATCCTTCATTCCTATGCTTTTTATTTTGTTTATTTGAGATCATAAGCTCTTCAGGTCAGCCTTCTATCTCCTGGATGGTCAAAGTGTAAAAGTCTGATTTGGAAGGGTCTTCCAAAAATCATCTCATCCAACTCTCAGTATCAAATGCTTCAATTAATTAAATGATAATAACTTGAGGCAGAATCCTGTAGTTTAAGATGAAAGCAATCACTGTTTTGCTTGCAGTAGCAGGATACTTTGCGTATGTGACTAACTTCAAAGGTTTTTCATACCTTTAAATACTGACTGTTTTAGGAGAAACTCGTGGGCTTGCTTAAACACTGGAGTATTCTGATATAATTGGATATAGAGGATCTACGTAAAAAGCACAGATCTGAAATTCATGCATTCATGTTTTTATAATCGCTACAAAGTTATAAAGTAAAGGAAAATATACCTGAATTTTGTTTTAGAAATATCCACCTAAGTAGAAAATAATAAAGATAAAATTAATGCGAAGAAACTGTCAGTTTTGTTGTATGCTGAGGTCTTTATCTGGCTTGGCTAACCTGGCATTCAGTGGCCTGAATGGATGTCAGAGTAACATCACAGACTCTAAGTCTTAAAGATACTACAAATAAGACAGACCTATGCTTCCCTCAATTCATGCTGCTTGGCATTTGAGGAAAAAAAATAGTCTTTAAAAACAGCTGCCTTACCTTCCTTAGGTCTCTTACCATTTGGAGCTCGGTTACCTAGTTAGAGGTAACCTGGACTCTCCCTGTATGATTTAATAAGTGTTCTTTCATAGAATTCTGCTTTTCACCTCTATATAGTATCACTGTTGTAAGTTAAGTCTGCTGAAATACTTTACAAAGCAATTTAACAGTATGCAAATGATTTCATCCAGGACTCTCAATGTTCCAGCAGCAGCCCTTCAGGAAGGGTAATTTAGTTGGGCCTGTCCTTTAGGAAGGAGCAGTATGGGGCACAAATTCCATTTCTTGGAGCATGCTCATGATTGTACCTACTCGCCCATTAGATTAAGTCTGTACTCTCTCAAACTCTGCTTCATTTGTCTGCGTACTTCCACAGTTTTAGTAAACTGTATCACAGAATAGTTGAGGTTGGAAGGGATCTGTGGAGATCATCTCGTCCAACCCCCTGCTCAACCAGGGTCCTCTAGAGCACGTTGCCCAGGATCACGTCCAGACGGGTTTGGAATATCTCCAGGGAAGGAGACTCCACTGCCTCTCTGGGCAACCTGTTCCACTGCTCAGTCACCCTCACAGTCAAGAAGTTTTTCCTCAGCTTCAGATGGAACCTCCTGTGGCTCAGTTTGTGCCCGTTGCCTCTTGTCCTGTCGCTGGGCACCACGGAGAAGAGTCTGGCCCCATCCTCTCGACACCCTCCCTTCAGATACTTGTACACATTGATGAGACCGCCTCCCAGTCTTCTCTTCTCCAGGCTCAACAGGCCCAGCTCGCTCAGCCTTTCTTCAGAGGAGAGAGGCTCCAGTCCCCTCATCCTCTTTGTGGCCCTCCACTAAAAAGGAGATCACCTTCAGCAAGTATCAGCTCTCACCATTTGTTATAACAGTTCACAAAGTAAGTAATTTAAGTTCCCTTACAGGCACTCTACCATTTCTCTATGTTTTAGAAGAATACCTAAAGGTTAATATGGTATATTTCCATGCAAGCAGCATGTATTTAACTATGATCTCTTTGCACTAGCAAAGAAATGACAACATGAGCTTGAAAATAAAGTTCTTATTTACAGATGAGGTGAAGCTACCCCAAATGAACAGCTGAATAGGGAGACAAGCCGATTTTTACTGACAGAATCCTTGCAAATTCAGTCCAGCTCTAAGTACACATCTGCAAAGGAACCGTGCAAGTTTCAGCAGCATGAATGCTTATACCTGCTAGAGACTTGAGTCAAGACATCAGGCGTGTAATAGCACATACGAGAACATTTGGAGCAAGTTTTAGGGACATAAAAGAGGATATACACTTCTTTTTAAATGTTTAACTACATAAACACATACTTACCCAATACCTTTCCTGTTAAAACAAGTAGTCTCTGCCAGCTCTCCAGCCTGGCCGGGTCCCTCTGAATGGCAGCACAGCCTTCTGGTGTGTCAGCCCCTCCCTCCAGTTTAGTACCATCAGCAAACTTGCTGAGGGTGCGCTCTGTGCCTTCCTCCCGGTCCTTGATGAAGGAGTTGAACAAGACTGGACCGGGTACTGACCCCTGGGGGACACCGCCAGCTGCAGGCCTCCAACTAGACTCTGCGCCACTGACCACAACGGCCTGAGCTCCGCCATCCAGCCAGGTCTCAATCCACCTCACTGTCCACTCCTCCAGCCCACGCTTCCTGAGTTTACCTTAATTTATCTTAATTTATTTCAGCTGTGGTTGAATAGCAATTAAATGAATACTGTCAAAATATCAAGTGTACCTTTATATTTGTTACATTTTTCTAGTTTAAATGTTTGCTAGAGAAAACAAACTGACTAATTGTTTTCTGATTTTCATGCCACATTGCTGCACCTCAATTGCAGTCTGTCTACAGGATCTTGAAGCCAGTACATTGCTTTGATTAAAAAAAAATGCAGTAATTCCTTTTTTTGAAGAAATAAACAAAAGTTTAAATCTGGACCAGATGGCATGAGGGCATCCCAGTAGGACAAGATGTAGTTCTGCACATTTTACTTGTTTATGTATGTATTCCTTACTCTTCAGATAACTTTGTTGCTTCCAGTTGGCTTGTTTGGCCTAATTGTATGGCTTAGCATCACTCATGTTGCTATGTTCAGTCCTCCAAACCCCCTCCTCAGCACTGCTGGAAGAGTAGCAAGTATGTAAATCTGACAACATAGGTCATGTTAACATAGGTTGGAAAAAGTTTGGTTGCAAGGAAGTAAGACTAACTCCAGCTTTTATGCAGACTTACACAGTGCCAATATTTGCAGGTAAATGTTACGTTTAGTAGTTATATAACATTTGGTTAAATTGGGTGTATTAGAAAATACCAAGTTAGCAAAACAAACTTTTGATTTGATGCATGTATCAGTTTTGTCCTGGGCTGAATTTCTTGAGCAGGGAAAAGAATCTTGGCTGTCGTAGGAAACCAGTCTACAGGTTAGTAGTTGAGAGACTCAGCTGGGAAGTTAGAGACTAAAGTTTGTCAGAAACTCTTAGACTTTTGTTTCTCCTTCCCTAATTCTAGGTAAACACTCAAAACACTGAACACAGGGTCAGTCCCTCTATTCCATTAGTATTCATACAAACATTAAATAAGGATGATTGATAATAAAATCAGTAGAAACATTGTCATTTTTGGACCAGCTCTTTGTAAACTGCTGGATTGGCCCATGTAATGTCTATAATAAAACTCTACTTTTTCTAGGCAAGCCACAGCTATGAGGACATATTTAAGTTGGGCTTTCCAGAAGTTTCTGTACCACAGTCCAGAGAGAGCATAAGAAGCTTAGATCAAGTATTTGATACAAATAATGAAGATACTGGGATTCCTGAACTTACGAAGAATCAACTTTGGTAATGTGTTTAAGGCAATAGTTTAAAAAAAAAAAAAACAAAAAACCTCAGCGATTACATTACTTATTTCATAATTAAAAAAATGGAATACTTGCAGGCTAACTTCAAACTGAAATTCTTTTTAATTGCTAGTCTCTTTAAGCACGTGGATCTTACCAGTTTTGCATTGTGTTATTAAAGGAAATGAAATGTGTTTTAGCCGTTGGAAAACGGAGTAGGAAATATATCAAAAGTATAAATTCCTGCTTAGGGTTCTTTCTGCTGTTGGTATGTTTTCTTATGACTAAGTTTCTGGAATGCCAGAACACCAACAGGCAGCCTGTTCTTCCTGTTTGCTTGTTCTTTCTTTACGATGCATCTAACTTATTTCTCCATCATCTAAAGCAGGAGTGTTGCTGCTGCTTCTGCTGACAACTTGCTCTTTTTTTTCCCCTCACCGATTTTCCCAGGTAGTAACCTTTTTTAATGTTAAGTAAGATTTGCTTCTGAATCTGTGATGCATCTGGCTTATTTCCTGGTGTTATGTTAACAGCAATTAGTATCATTAATTTAGCTCTCTCAAGACAGCTGAAAAGTTTTTAGACTTGTTACATGTTTCTGAAGGATCAGCAGCTTCTGAAGAGTATTGTAGTTATTTTTGCGTACATCTGAGGCTTTGTGTCTAGAAAGATGGGTCACTTATTCAGACTATACTTTGCAAATATCACAAGAATTATAATAAAATACATTTAATGTGGGCATCCGTTCAGCGAGCTTCTTGTATATGCATTAAACTTTAACTAGGTAACAGGTCTGAACTTGTGGAGAGAAAAGAAAAATGGATATGTATGTGAAAAAAGGACTTCAATATTAGAAGACTACTCACTAAAGACAGAAAAGCCCTGATACACTGCGCTGAACAAACTAAACAAGATAAATGATACATGCATCCTATACTAAACTTGGATTTACTTAGGGTGAATGCAGTATAAGAATCCACAGTAGTATGCAGAAGGAGCTCTTTAATTCTCACTACATCAGTAGCGTTGCGCCTCTGGCTTTGATTCCGTTTTGCAGTACACACATGTCTAGAACAGATATCAGAAGGTAACGTACCTGTATCAGGTTGCTGTAGTGGAGAGGCATGGCTGAAATAAAGGTCTGAGAGACAGAGAACGCGAGGTTCGGAATGAACAAGGTTGAACTGTTTACCTGCATTTCACAGAAATAATTGAATAATCCAAGTTGTGGGCATATAACGATCTCTGGAATATGCTTCTAATGCACTTCTTATCTGAGAAGCTCAAACACACCGTGATGTTGACTTGCTGTTTCTGTTAATTATTGTGCAACCTTATTAGCTGAATGGGTTGATAGTTTGAACACGTGTAGAAATAGTTTTAAGGGAAGTTTTTGCTTTTTAGCTCAAAGTAGGCTAGTATGCAGTTGTCTGTGGTGAAAATAACTAAAAGTTATATTTGCCTACTGGAAACTTTCTACTTCTTAAAACCTTAAATTGTGTTCCTTTTCTAGCATCAATTCTGGAAACATATGGAAAAGTCTTAAAGACTTTGATAATACCCCCAGCTTAAGACATCCCTGGAGTAAATCGCGTTGCCAAGAAAACTTCTTGAGTGTTCTTGGAATAGATGCAAATCAGAAGGTAATTGAACAATGGTTGGCTAGTGTGCCAGCATAAACACTTGGTTATAATTCCTGATTTATGTAAGCTATACATGCAGATGCATGAGGAATGAACTGTATGTGGGTGAATCGTTGGTTGCTTTAAAGAGGGCCTTTTAAAAATGATAGCTTAGTTTTTACTCGGCATTGTGTAAGTTACTATGAAAGTTGTGCAAGGATCGAGTTTTGATTATCTTTACATTGAAGCCTCCATTGTATACTGCCTGTTGCATTAAATGGTTCGTTCAGCTTTAGGTATAGTTACAGAGTTAGCTTTCAGATGTGTGCAGTAAGATGGCTTTATTTTTCCTGCTCAATGTATGAGAAAATTGTTAGCCTCTATTATCTTTTCATTAAGTGAAAATTGGATTTGAATCGGTGAGGCTGTTAAGGCAGTTATGGGATGTTTTAATTGTATACAAGTTGAAAGTCTGTTCCACTTCCCTTTTCCTCAGATTATTTTATCCATTTTGGCAAGACTTGAGGGAGAGAAGTATGTTTTAAATAAAGTCAAGAGAACAAACCAATAGTAATGAAAGATCCCAAAAAGAAATGTCACTGTTTAATCTTTTATTTGGAGAAGACAAAGGTATCCAAAATGGTTTAGTATTCAACCTGGCTGTTTAGTTGGCATGAATTAGTCGCTTGTGGTTTTCAGAAGTAACTGTTTTAATTAATAATTTGATTGCTGAATGAGGAGAGGGGAAAGGGGTTGTGTGCAATTTTCTTATTATGGACATGTTTCACTTCTCATGCAACTTAGGTGTAAACAGAATTATAGTGCTGAAGGTATAGGACCTGTTCTGCACCTGAGAGCAACTCTTGCAGAACTGTCATTTGACTTCTCCAACATAGTTAATCATCTCTTTTTCTGTTCCTAATCCCTCCCGTGGATACAAATGCGTTAAACCAATGTACAGGCAACTTCACATGGTGTCATTACTTTCTTTTACCTTAATGGAAAATTGTATTGCTTTTAACAATGCTGCTTTCAGCTATTTTCTAGTGTAGAATAGCAATAACTTTATGTGGAAGGTTTTTTTTTTTTTTAAGTCACAGTTTGATTCATGTGAGTTGAACTTGCTTTGGCATAGAACTATATTAATACGGGAGGAGCCCCACGACAAATCAAAATACAGCTTCAGGAAATAAAATTTGGTGGTTATTGTTATTTGAGGGAAAACTCTTTAGGCTTCCTAAGTTGAGATCAGATAGGCGTTAGTTTAAAAAATATATAAATTATGTTTTATTAGGACTTTCCAGAGAGCCAGGATAACATTTTTAAGGAATCAAACGTTAAAGATAATGAAGACTTCAGATTTGATGGATTCAGTATTAATAACTGCAAAGCACTGATCCAGACCAAGGTAAGAATTGTTCTGAAGGTAAGTACTTAAGAGAACTATGCAGAGTATTTTACAAGTTCCTCTGTGCTATAGTCTGGAATTCATCTACTAGTTGTTCTGGTGCATCTGCTAAAGTTACTGTTTGTTCCATGATAAGGCTGTGTGGGTGTAGGATTTTGTTTTTTTTCTGCTCCCTCTCTCTTTGAAACCTACCTGGCGACTTCAGAAAAGGTAGAACACAATGTACCGAATGCAAAGTGACAGGATATGGGGAATGTTGAAATATATGGCTATTTATGTAACCTGGACTGTAGGTCAAATTATAAAATATATAGAGAGAAAGAGAGGGTGGGGGGAGAGAGAGAGGCAAGTATGTGAGATGTAGTCAAGATGCTCTGAAGCAAACAAAGGGAAATTAGTGGGGCTATAGAAACATCAATGTGTTGATCACTGTGAGAATAGTGATCAGCTGCTGAAATATATAGTAAGGGAGAAATTGGAAGGCAAGTTGGTATAGAGAAGAAATTGCATTCAAACTTCCATTTCAGATATTCAGAATGATTCGGATTTGGTTTGTTCACTCTGGAAGAAAATAGGAACTATTTTAAAAGGCTCAGTAGCTAACCAAATTAGAGGGAGGCAGAACTAATGTTACAGTTACTGGGATTTGAGAGCATTACTATTTTTAAGCTGTTTTATAGAATGTGTAGAGAAATGAAATTGGAAATACTTTACCCTTAGTGCCTGTATATCTTTGGCTAAGCAAAAGATACATGCCTAAATATGTATTAATTTTCTGAGGTCAATCTGTTTTACCTAACATCTCTGTTTCAAGTTGGAACGAAAATTTTGTCATTCCTCATTGCTTTAAATAAATCAGTCACATTCTGTTTTTTTACAAAGTATTTTGGATGAATAGTCTAGTCCAACAGAAATTATCTTCCTCTTTGGAGAATAAACTTGAGCATAAACCTGGGATTTGTAGTTTGAGGCATGCTTTCATTGCTATGCTTTGTTCTATTTACAGAGTTGAATACTGAAGTTGTACTGTTTTGGGAACCTTGTACCTAAGAGATATTAGACTGGGAAATTCAGAAAGAAAACCAAAAGAGACTGTTTACAGCCTGTTCATTCAGAATTCAGTTATACTTTCTTTCAATGAGTACATAAGGCTGAGAGATGAGATCACACTATCCATCTGACACATACTTCGCATATTTGTAAAATACAGAGGCAGAGTTTAGGCAAAGGAGAAATGGTTCTAGGTGAATGAAGAAGTAGTAAATTGAAGACAAGTCATGATACAGAATTATGGTAAATGGACAAAAGTATTCTGGAGTAGCCTCTGAAGGAAAGAACAGGCCATACAGCTTGGTATCTCAAACTAAAGCTAACTAGAAAATGTCTGAATGTATCAGCCCTAACGTAGGAGTAAGTTAAATGAACTAGTGGGAGCTTTCATATTTATCTTCCTGGTCCTATGTCCTTGATTTTTTTTTTAATCTTATTTTTTGTCTTAGGCTAATTTTAATTTTATAAAATCCATGTAAAAAATTAGATTGGAATAAGTGATTAGATTGAAGTAAGTGATTAACTTACTGTGGGATGGAAAAAAATTAACTTGGGTTTTTTTTTCACTCAGCTTTCTGTATCACCAGATTCCAGACATGGTCATCTTTTTACTTGTAACCTTTTTTTGAAAAGAACATCATCGAGTGGAAATATGCAATATATAACAATCCCAAGGAAGAAGCAAATCTTCACTACACACAACCTAAAAATGAAATTTTTCAGTAGTGATGTTTGTTAAACCAAATGCACTTGTTACTTTTTTTTTCTTCTTTTTGAACTGAGTGCGGTTTACCTTTATTTTGTAACTGGCTTGGTACTAGAGAGTTGCATGTTCTTCAGGAAAGTGACGTATTGCTATATACGAGGTTCCTAAAGCCGCCTTATTAAAAGTTACTTACCCTATTTAGTTTTGAAATCAAAGATATAATTTTGTCCTGGTAAGTTTTGTTGTTGAGTCACGTCTCTTACAGTAAATGCAGCTGCAATCAGACCTTAAAGATACTCTGGTGGACTGCTCTTTTTAACTACTGACCTTTCAGGCCTTAATATCTCTTTGATTAAAAACCTTGTTTTTCTGCCAAAATCTAAACACATCTTAGGGGTGTTGTGAAGTGTGCCTTGTCACTCTGTCTTCTCATATTTAGTCCAGTTTGGATCAGCTGAGGTCTGGTACTTAGCTACTGCTTAGCATTATGAAAAGAGCCTTCTACATCCTATGGCTTTTACTGGAATTTAAAAAAAATAGCCTACACTGGTAATAGGGGTAGAGTCAGTGGGGTGATCAGATTCAAAACGTTTTGTTCTGGCGTTGGTTTCTAATTGAAATAAATCACATCTTTGAAGCTGACTGTAACATGACTACTTGGATTCATTCAGCTACCAAACATTTAAACCATGCATAATCATGCTAGTTAAAGCTTAACAACAGTGTAGTTCAGGACTTTCACTGGACAGTGCTGTAAATTGCTACCCCAAACCTTTTAAAATTTTACAGCAGTTTTCAACTATATTGCCCACTTTCCTGCATGCTTAGGTATCAGATGAGATGCACTTCATTAACATTCATAGAATCCATGGTTCATCCTTGCTAGCTGCAGCAGCTTTATTTATTTGTTGATAATAACTTACGCAAGTTACTAATCATTTGCTGTTCTAACTGTTCTGAATATGACAACTTTGTATGAGTTTTTATTTTAAGGAAGTTGCTAAGTCTTGTGGCTTTTTGCAGAGAATGTCACAGCACGGGAGAGACTTTTTATGTGTTAAAAGCGTGGAACAAACTTGGATATTCCAAAATTCAGTCAGTTAGTTAATGATGATGTGCATAGTCTGTTCTTAAAAGTAAGAACTGTATAAAGCACCAGCAGAATCAAACTCTTAATCTAGCAAACTGCTTAGTGGTGATATTAAAATTGGTATTATTTACTAACTTTAGTAATGTTTATGATGCCCCAGTGCTGTTAATGTAAAATAAACTATATACTGGTTACTCAGTAAATAGAAATAGACTATTTGAATAAGTGCTGTTTGAAAGTGGCCCCTCCGTTTCCCTGGCTTAAAAGGAGTTCTGCTTGGCTAGACTGAAAACTCTGTGTGGGTTTAAGAGCAGGGTTAACGTCTTCACTTAACACTGGATTTCCTGTTTTCAGAAACTTACTTTCCCCTAGTAGTAATCTAACAAGAGGGTTTTGTTTTGTTTTGTTTTTCAAGAAAAATAATTGTTGCATAAAAACACCAACCTGGTGAGACACTTAAGCTCCATCTGTAACTGCCTCCTGTTTTCACATATTCAGTACTTCCTCAGCTGGGGCTTAACTTTGTTTTCACTTTAAGCTAATGTTGATTAGACTAGCAAAACTTTGCATTAGGCTGATGCAGTTGCTGTGGGTTTCCTGCTGTGAGGGAGGTGGGAGTACTAATTGTGTTTAGGCAAGTAACTAGATCTCTTTTTTTAATGGACTTCTTGCATATTCATTTTGAATTTCCCTTACAAGTCTTTCAGAGCACTTACTTCAACATGTAGTAAAGAGAGGCTGTAGCGTTAAACTCACAAAACAGTAAATTGCCAATAAATGATGAGTGGAAATTTGAAGGTAGAAATAAACATTGAAACCAGCTATCAGAATAAAATCTCATCCTTTGTCAAAAAGCCTAACAGAGCCCTGTAGAAGGGCTGGGAGGGAAGAGGTTTGTGGCATGCACAGCACCGAGGCACGAGATTTCCTGAGGCGCACTTTCTGGGCATTGAAGTTTGTCTTTCCTTTGGTTAACATTTGCTAACTGTAGCACAGAATGCTTTGCACTATTACCCCAGGGAAGCAGTCAGTGAACTGACTTTATCTCAGCCCTTTATGATTCAGTGGGAAAAACTACCCCACACTTCAGCTAACAAACAGGCAGCCCCCCCCACCCCAGCCCTTTGGGCTGCCTCACCCCTTAGTGCCTTTAAATACTGGCTCCGCAAGACAATGCTGGTTGAGAGAACTTTTGACTTCTTTCTTTGCTCTGAACTGAGCAAGTTCATTTCTTTCAGATTGAGGCTAACAGAACTGAAATTACAAAGTAATTCCACTCATGTAAGAGTTTCTGGAGTCTTGGCAGCCCTCATCTGAATTTGGACACAATCGGCATACTTGGGGGAAGCAATATTCACAAAGACAAGATTAGGCTCTGCTTCCCTTAAGTGACAAGAACATGCTCAGGGAGACAAGCCTCTCCAAACACAGTTTTAGAAGATCATTTTTAGGGCCAGTGTATAGTATAAAAGTAGCCTTCACTTCTGTTGTTAAGGGGTGAAGGAAAGCCTTCAGATGTGTTTTGCACAAATACTTGGTGTTCATTTCCTTTTGTCATTTCCTTGTTGCTGTTCTTCCCTGGCATGAAGCCAGCCGTGCTAACAACTGGCTACTTACTTACCAACTCCTGAAACACAACTTTGTTTTAAGATTAAAAATGGCAGGTGTTTATTCTGTGAAAACGGTGCATGGAGGAAATAAATAAAACTGCCTATCTTAGTATGATTTAAGCTATGATTTTCACCATTTCTAATCCTAATCATGAGCTCTTAGCTGCAAAATACTTTAGTTTTGAGGAACTGAACATGTTACTGTACTGTGTTGTATTTGTGGAAAGCGTGTAAATACCGTAGACTTTTGACATTTACTTAGGATTTTGAAAAGGTGAAAACCAAAACAACAGTTTTAGCCAGCAGATCTAGACAGAAATGCCTTTTTCCTTCAAAGTAAATGATAACGTTAGGATTTTTGTTTGAGACTAGAGGGGAATATAGGAAAAACATACATAGACCAAAGTTCTAAAAAGTTCAAATCAGAAATGTAACTACTGAAATGGTCTTATAGAAGGACCATTGTAAAGATAGAGTTGTGCAAAAAAAAAAAGAACACCCATGTTACAGAAGGCTGAAAACATTGCTTCAGTGAAAATGTGGTCAAAGCTTGAACACCAGCAAAACTTTAGGGAAAAGCATGTATTTCGACAATCATTTAAAATTGAACAGGCTAGAAAGGCACAGTTTTAGAAAGTTCTCTCTTAGAAACAATGTATTCCCAGTATTTGTGGACCTTATTTTTAAAAGTCCAAATAAAAATATTTAGAATTTGATAAAAAAAAAAAAACAACACATTTTGGTTTCGAAGGATACCATAGATCCAGCATTTGTAAAAAACTCAAAAAAAAAAAAAAAAACAACCCAGAAATCTTGTAACAGTTTAAGTCAGTCCCTTAGAACACGGAGTTTGGTCATAATAGATTTTATAGATCAAAAGAGAAAAGACTCAAAAACAGTTTTAAAACATTGTGTTCAAAAGGGAGAACATTAGTATCAGTTGGTTTTTAGCTTTTAAAAATATATTTTTTTGAAAACTGACAGGATTTGCTTGTTGGAAATATTTTCTGAGAGCAGCTCTCCATGAGCAACAGTTGTTGCATGGCCTCAGCCACATTTGAACAACAGGTTCTTTGGCCTGCCCTTTTTAAGATATTATTTCACTGTATTATTTCACTTGTAGTCTTAACATCTATGAGTGAAAAACTACAATTTCATTCCTTTCAGTAGTCTATTATTCAGTACTTACATACTTACTCAAATAATTTTTTCCCTCAGGAAATTTTTTTCTTATTTTTTGAATGAAAACTTACACTGGGGAGAACTAAACCAAGCCTTAGTTTAGCTAAGCATTTAGCATGGATCAGTGTATATATGTATATGTTTTAATATGTATTTTAGCTCTTGATACAGAAATGACTACAATGAGAAAAATTATCCCCTAAATAAATCTAGAGATTTTCATGTTAGTAAAAACTCACTTAACAGTGCTTTTAACTTGTTGGAATATAATGGATACTTTTACTAGCCTTACCATTTCATCTTTACTGGCAGGCAGACACCAGTTCCTTATAAAAATAAAAGAAAATCTTTCCTTCAGTGCTTCAAATGAATCGTTTTCCTCTACCTCAACTAAATGGACTTTGTCCATTTAGCTTAGATTCACCTGTGGACTCTACAATATTTTGGGTATTATTCATTCCATGAGACAACATAAGCTGCCCCACCATCAAATCCCCATATTGATTTAGCAGCAGAAAGGGCAGTTTATCCAGTACTCAAGAGTTTTGCACCCTGAGCTGTACCATATCTAATTTGAGCAGTGCATATGTTGCTATAGTCTGTTTAGCACCATTTACCCATTCTCCAGGTTTTCATGCATCATTGAAAAATATGGTTCTTTTCTTTTATGACACTTCTGAAACACTACATCCATTCAGGGTAATTAAAGAATTTTTAAGCAACACTGATCTTTTCAATAGTGAACATCTTGAGACCTTCCTGGAGTACTCATATGCCAGATTGCCTCTGCAGTCCTATTTGGCTAAGAATGAGCTGCATTCAAATTAATTGTTAAAATCCAAACCTCATTGTGGATCTGAGTTTAGGTTGCCAAATCCACTGATGAAGATTCAAAGGAAAAAAAAAAAAAAAACCTCAGCAAGCAGGTGTGACGGGCTTGCTTCAATTGAGTCTAATAGAAGGTCTCAGTTACGTCTACTGAGATATGAATCAGACTCTCAGAATTTGTCAGCCCAAAGCACAACTTGGGTACCAAAGCATAGCCAATCTAGCCTTGTGCTTTGCGTGGATAAATGGATCCTAATGAGGAAAAAACGTCTGGAATGAAGTTTGCAACTCCAAGGGGTTTTTTTTCTTCTTCTAATAAAGGCAAGAGGCCTGTAAATGCTAGGTAACTACTTCAATGCTAAAAAAAAATCTAGCTTCCCCGAATCTCTGCTTGAATAATGCATACTTTTATAGACACACCTCTGCATCTTAATGGCTTAATTCTTGAATGCTAATACTATTTTAATAGCTCAGAATTAAAGTTGGTTTTGTGACTAATTATAGCACATTTTCCTGACAGGACTAGTGCATAGGTTATTTTCTCATGCATATGTATGTTACTCTCACTTGAGCTAGAAAATTAGTCTTCTTAAGACTTGAGAGTATTGAACCAGAGAGAGCATTCTTAATATTACATTCAACACCTCAGCTAGCCGCATCTTTCAAACCATAACTACACTGTGCTGCTTAGCGTGCTTCTGAAGTTCAAATCCTTCAGTGTGGCATTGGATAAAATAAAGGAAAGTGCAAGAAACCTTATAGAAACCTTATAGCACTGTTAAAAAGTGTTGATATGATCTGAAAGCAATACTGGAGATTATTTTCTTAAAAAGTTAAACTGCAGCGTACCTCCATAAAGGCAGCTTTTTCTATTACTAGATTTCAGGACTGAGCAGAACAGGAACAGCTGTCTTCTCTCCTGTACTGCAACGTCAGAAGTGTCCTGCTCCAGTAGAACAGATAGTAACAGGGCCAGTGCCGTGACAGCAACCACCTTACGCCCAAAAAGGAATAACTTTTTAGACCCATGGTTTTCAAACCTTGGTCAGCAGGTGCAAGGGCAAAAGGTGGGAACAATCCCTACTCTGTAGGAAGTAGTCAATAAAAACCATCTTACCAATAAAATTAAGTACACTGCAGAAGGGTCAATGGCTCAGCAGAAACAGTTCAGAGGTCCACCAACAGAAAAACCTTCAGACCTGAAGTTGGTGGTATGATCTGCATCAGCACAGTCAGTTAATTCACTGGCTAGCAACCAACCTTCCACTAGAATTGGAGTTCAGCAGTATGTTTATACCATACAACAGACTCTTCACCTGTTGGTGTCAACTGCATGTATATACCTGCATAAATATATACATGAAAATTTGTATTTGACATTTGATTTCAAGCATGGCAACCTTAGGCTGTACGTGATAACCCTCGTTTTGTAGGGACAGGAATCTTCATGCAAAAAGAAGATGCAAAGCTTCGGATGTGTTATTTAATATTTCTAAGAAAAATAGCAAATTTATGAAAGCAACCATCTAGGGAAAGTTACATCTTCATGAGTAGAAAGAATAAAGGCGGCTAGCAAGTTTTTTTTGTTTTTGTTTTTGTTTTTTTTTTGCAACAGTTAAATACTGAAGGCTTCAAAATGTAAGTGGTTAAACTGCAAAACTGTGGCTTTTATTTCCAAACATACAATAAATAGGTCCACCATGACTAGCCTCTAGCTTCATTTTACACAAAAAGAATTCAAAATTAGTTGGTGCATATTTAAAAATTAAACTTCCCTTTGCACGTAATTCCATACCTAACCAAACTGCATTACATACCAGTTTATGGTCTTGGCACTGTGATGCAAGCAACCAATTAGAAGTAGAGATTTGCAGCAAGCACTTTAACAACTACATTTTTAATTATTTGTTGATAAAATGTCTACCAACAATTTTGATCCATTTCTGAAGTGTATAAAAACACTTTTAGCATGTAAATGCTGAAAAGTACATTTTCTTCTATCGTATGTTTCTGTAGGGCTAACAAGGTAACTAGATTTGATGTGTGTTCACTATTTGCTACATGATGCAAGTTTCATACCAAAACATGATCTTTGCTGCATAGTAACATTCTGTATTTTGAAATGTAAAAAAGAAATTAGATGCAGTCTTTTCATTTTCTTCCTCATCACTGAATTCAAAGACATTTTAGCAACAACTCTGCTTCATCACAGTGCAGAAGGCTCTTAATATTTCAAGGATTTATTCAGGCATATCTTTAATACAAAAGTAGAGGCTGACAAAAAGCCAGAGTAGTCTATACACAATGCACAATCTGTGTACATTCTGAAGCTGTACCTCTTCAAGAACTATTTATACACTCTTCAAACAAATCCCTTTATCCAGCAATTCAAAATACTTTAGATCAGAAGTTTTATATTAGAATCAATACATTATATGCATATAAATACATTTATACCCTTCGGCTGCTAAACAACCCAAATGGCTGTGAGGATGTGACCTGAACTGGTTCTCCACTGGTTTGGGATACCAAATTGTATTGGCAGCTAACTGTTAACCAAAATAGTTACAGTAAAAAATAAAAATAATTTTTTAAAAAAGGAGATCTTCGCACAAGGTAAGTGTGCTACAGCATCCGGTAAGACTAGAAATAGTAGGTGACCTCCCAGCCCCTTCAACAGGCCCAGGATTCCAACTCTTATGAGATGCAACGTGGGGAACATTTTCCTCCTCTGCAGATGCCCTATTCATGAAAAGTCTCAGCAGAACCAAAGCAAAAGAAAAAAAAAAAAAGAAAAAAAAAAAGCTTTTTAAAAGCTTTTACAGCTATGAGTTTTTCCATGAGGCAGGTGCTGCAGCTTTCAAGAACAAAAGTTGTATAGTTCAAAACTAAAGTGTGCAAGTGTGTAGTTCAGAAGACAAAAGCAAGGATCAATATAGACACCTCAGTTCAAGCTGAAACACAGTATCCCAACTGTCATATGGAAAAATAGTTCTCACTGCAAATGTCATCTTCAGTTAATGAGTGCGCTTATATATATATTTATATACACACCCACACATACACACAAAACCCCCTCCTCCCCCAGTTCTTCAGTACTATCTGCAGCATAATCATCAGCAACCATCACAATGCTTCTGAAGCACATGTAGGCCCCAGTCCTAACGCCGCATCCGAGCGGTCAGACCCCTGAGCTCTCACAGACAGAGCTGCATGATGGTACTTAGTCATCAGTACTGACTCACCACATGTAACTGAGTATTTCAGGAGTATTCAAAACAGTAAGCACTGGTGCAATAAGAAGTGTTTTCAACTTTGTTTCTTAAAGGATACAGAAACGTTGACTCTTCAAGTATCCTCCAAAGGTGCTACAAGTTTTAAGTTTGAAGCGTTTCTTTCTATAATGCCAGGTATACAAGTGTGTATCTTTTTAAATAATATTGCACATAAAAATCATCTTAAACTTTGTAGTGAAAGCAGGGTTGAAAGACAGTGTTTTCCAAAACAGATTAAAAAAAGCTACCTGTACACAGTAAGTTTTAATTTAAAGAATGCCAAGATTACTCAAAATCTAAGCACATAATACTGACAGAAAAATGTTAAATTGCACAACCTACATATAAATTACATTTGTAAATACTTAGTTTTTAAACATTGAATACCCTTGATTTCACAAATCAGCTAGGTCACTGTCAAAGGATCAGCTTAATGAGTTAGAAGTATTTTTCCCCAGAAAAAAAAAAAAAAAAAAAGACAGAAACACGATTTGCAGTCTTACACGAAGCACTGGAAAGAGTTAAAGCATTTCAGCTCAGAGGTAGTGCTAAACACATCCAACTAGAAGTCCAATATATTTGAACTATGATGAAATAACATAGTAAAATGTAGAAAGACTATAAAATTTACAAAAATAAATAGTTCTGAATGCTTTAGAAAATGCAAGAGACTTTGTTGACAAGTGTCTTGATCGGCTTTTCTGACCAAAAGAAAGCAAAATGTGTCTCATTTTTAAAATATACTCATCTCTAGTAACGTGGCTGGATCCATGCAATCCAACTATGCAACTTGACGTATGCCAACTTGGCATAGACTCTGATATTAAAAATAAAGTGGAGGCTTTGTAAAAGAGCATCTCTCATGAATTTTGTTTTGCATGTAAATTCTTCTGACAAATTAAAAATTGCACATAAAAAGGTTTATTGAAAGAGGCATGAGGGGTGGTACGGGTATGTGCCCATTGTTCCACATACACCCTGGAAGGAAAAAGATGATTGCACAGTTCTGATAAATAAATATTTCTTTTTTAAAAAAAAATCTGCCACTTTTTGGTTTATAAGTTTTGGAAATATTTAGAAGATTCCTCTATAGACAAATTATTTTTAGGTTGTGTTTTAAGGAATTCTTTACAACTTTTCCAGTGGCTTTTATCCCTAAACCAACTGAAAGCGGCAGTCAGGAAAGTATCTTTGGGTAAAACGAGCATCAGGATCCAACCAGAATTTCCATGATGTGGTCCAATTCACTCAGATCCGTTCTACATATCTGAATGTTGCTTGCTGAAGAAGAATTACAAGATGGAAAGGTTTTCAATGGTTCTTCTGTAGCAACAGGTGGTGGTCTGGGTGGCATTAGTGGAGGGCAACAAAAGTCTGAATCATACATTGAAGTGTCAATATCTTCAAAAATGTCATCTATTGCCAAATCCTTCAAGTAACTAGTTGAATTTGAAATCTCAAAGGAACCGAACACGCATTCAGCTCCCTTCAAATCCGGTCTATCATCTTCTAGTTTTAGACCAGTATTTTCTGGAAACTTTGGCTGGTCATCTCCAGAAGGAACCAAACAAGTAGGTGGGCTTATGTCTTCTACAAAGTCTAAATCCTTCAGAATAGATGAAATAGCAGATGACATATCATCATCCGAAACTATCAGCAGGCTATTTTCAATTGGGTCTTCTACAGATCGCAAGTCACAACAGTTAGACTCTTGCTGGCTAATACCTGAAGGTAACTGAAGAGAAATTCCAGGTGACTCCATCCCTGTGTAGCTGTGAGAACTAGGAGCAATGCCAGCACAGACATTAATTGGCTGACTACTCTCTTGTCTCATTTCCTCTTGAATTTGCCGTACTGTGTTGGCTATGAGGACAGAACGATGCAAGTTCGGTTCCACCAGCATTTTGTAAGTCTGTAACTTGGTGAGGCACATATTAAGCACCAACTGCCTCTTAAGTGGATATGGCAGATTTCGACTGGAATCAAAGGCACTAGAGAGACCAGCCACATTCTCCTCATAGTCGCTCAGCTTGCGTTTTAGACCTCTCCCCAACATGAACCTGGAAGAAGAAAAATTCTAAATTAATTGTGGACAAGACTATCACTGCTTTTGCAAATTCTCAATACACACTTTGGAAAGGAGGTAGCATACAACGCATTGGTTAATTTAAACAGGTTCTAATGCTATAAAACAGTAGAAAGGCAGAAAGAAATCATACAAAAGATTTTCATCAGGAAAGATGCTCTTTCTAGCCGTGTCTCGCAACACTGTTGTGAGAAAACAAAATACAGTAACTAATTTTTTTTTAAAAAGCTTTATACCTCTAATTTGATCTGTTTAAGGTCTACTCTTTTAACTCAACTAATAGAACATGAATTTAATTATTCAAAAACTATTGGGCTAGGTGTGTTTTTTAGGCTCATCCTTTAAAATTAAATGGCATGCAAAAAGTTTATTAAAGCGAAACGTTCATAAATCTTATGTCCACGTGAAATGAAGGTGTATATTAGGGATTAAAACAACTGCATAGAGTATTTCATCATGTTTGTTTTAAAACTAATTTGTTACCAAGTAAAGTAATTAAAATTTTAAAACTAGTTTCAACATGTTTTCACCTCACTGAGGTATTAATGTCTTGCTCAATTTCTCTTGTGCAGAGATCATCTCTCTCCTTCTCTGGTCACTTAAAGAATTGTTTAGCTGCGGTTGAACTGTACAGCTACTGTAAGACTTGTCTTGTTCACTACATACCCTCCGTATCCCACAGTCTCAAAGTCTATCTTCTAATTAAGTCAAGAGAGCAGTAGCTTTTACTGAGTACACTGTTTACACTAATACAAAAATAGATAAACTTGCAAGCAATAAAAATGGCTATTTGTTCACGCAAAAGAAGACTGCCTTCAGTTAAAGCAGTTATAAGCAGAGGTACACTACACGCTCATGACGTACACATTACTAATGGTATATCAAGTAAATGCAAGTCAGCCTTTGGACTGCATAAAATACTCATTTTTCACTATTAGCATATATAGCATATATCACTATTAGCATCTATTAGCATATATTTATACTGTCATTTCAGAGATACACATTCCTGAATGTTTACGTTGATATAAGCCGACTAAAGAGACAAAAAGCACCTGCTGAGGGGAGGTAGCTTGTTAGTTGCTTACATTACAATCAATTTTAATTGCTGCCCAAATTGCCTGCCTACAACAGGAATTGAACCCAATAGTGAAATACTGCCATTTACAGGTTTAACAAAAAAAATGCCCTTTTTTCAGGTACATGAGTAGAATTACTCCCAACAAACATAAAAGAAAAAGAGTTATCTGACATAAAGACTTCCCATTACTTCAGCCTAACCACAGTCCCTGAGAAGATTACAGAGCATATCCTACAGGAAGGCATTTCCAAGCATATGAAAAAAAAGGGGTGATTGGGAACAGTTAGCATAGATTTACCAAGGGCAAATCGTGCCTGACCAACCTGATTACTTTCTATGTAGTTCTGTGAACAAGGGGGAACAGTGAATGCTGTTTCTCTCTACTTCAGCATGGCCATTAACAGAGACTCTCATAGCATCCTTATATCTGGTCCATAGCATATTAGTTTACTTAAGGTGTACTATAAGGTAGGAGAAAATTTGGCTAGGCCACACGGCTCAAGGGATTATGATCAGTGCTCATGGGCCCAGGTTCACAATCTGCTACTGACTTAACACTGAGGACATCCAGCTGCAGGCTAGCAAATGGAGTTTTTAAGGCGATCTATTCTGCCACATGAAAAAAAATGTAGTGGCCTTCAGTCAACTTTTTGTGCTTTTGCATAGAAACAGGGGTAGGTTTATAACACACACTAATACAAAAGATTGTATGCACGCCTAAAATACAGGAGACCCAACAAAATATATGCATGGATCGCGAGTAACCACCCATTCAAATTTAAACTGTTTTATTAGGGATAGCTTCAGAGAACAGAACAGCTAACACTAAGTAATCACTCGTACGTACACAGAAAAGGAGTTACACCATCAGTAGGAAACACTGGTAAGATCTTGATTATATGCGGAATCTTGATGTGTCCATGGAGTACAGAAACATCCCTCTCAAACAATAAAAAAAATTAAGTAATCATAAATTAGACACCCAGTGGCAGATTAAGGGCAGATCCCTCATACACAATGATCCAGACCCCGCACGCTGCAGAGGGCCTCCCAACTTCCTTTTCATGTGAGCGCTGGATACTGCCAGCAATAGCTCAGCTGATTGTTGCAGCTGCCAGCTGCTAGCCTGTTGCTAGACTTTTGGGGACAAGGAGATGGCAGAAGGATAAAGCCTCTTTTACTTTTGGGATTTCTCCAGATTTGCAGGAGGCACTGCAGGGCTCCATAGCTACATCCATCTGCCCGGACTAGATTCTTAGAGAACTCTGACTCCTCTGAAGGAAAAGAAAGCAAGCAGAGCACACTTCTCAGTAAGACACACAGGAAAGGCAGACAGTTAGGAGACAAATTTAAGTTTAAGACATACCCAGCGACCAGTTTAGAACACCTAGAACCAAGTAGCGTTGAGGACTCAACTGCAAACAACGTCAGCAGAAATTATAATCCGGACACGAAGTTCCAGCACCATATATAATTACACAAAGCACTTGGTGGGGGAGGGAGATATCCCCAATCAAACTACCTGTGATACTGTCAAAAACTGCTAATTTTAGCTACAGTTTAAGGAAAACATGAATTATGCTGGCCTTTAGAATAAAAATACTACTAAATATACCAACTCATGGTATGTCATCAAAATAGTGTCTGCAAATCAAAGAATTCACATTAAAATTATCCTTTCTAAGCAGTGTACTACCTAAGGCATGCCCTCATATGCTTACTATAACAGATAAAAATATACATCACAACAGGTATGTGTTCACTAAGCACTGTACGCTGTGATTCCCTCCCCCACTAACATAATTAAAGCAAATAATATTTAAAGCAAAATTCTTATTTACAAAGGAGCTAAATTAAGACCATACAGGGAACAACAATTCTGGCAGTGCATAAAATCAGAATGTTCGATTTTGCCACTTCACTAATTTTTAATACATCCTTTAAAAATACATTTAACAGGAAATGCTCTGCATTTAACCATTTGAATATGAATAATGTCAATTGCTAGTATATCAAAAGACATGCTGGTATTTAAATTCTGTAAACAAGCTTAAAAGAGGAAAAAGGATGCAAAAACACATACTTTGACAAAAACACTTAAAATGAAATGTTTAACTTTTAAATTCACATCATAATCCAATTAGACTAAATATTTCACGTTCATAGATGCAGACACCATCCCTTTTCTTCCCTAAACTTGCTTAATAAAAAAAAAAACTGTCCCAGAGCATTCTAGAAATATGTAACAAGGTTTCAGTGTGACACTGTTCTGAACTATAGAGTTTAAGAAACCTTATTTGCTCCAACTTCAAATGTTTCTACTTAAAAAAAAAAAAAGCAGAGAATCTGTTAACGAAACGTTTGATATTTGAAGGATCCTGAATTCTGCCTGTTTAGCATGATTTTTGCCTAATTGTAAGGCTACTTAGGTGTCTCTGTAGGAGACAATGATTTCAGACATTATATAAAAAATTTTGGAAAGAGATTTCGTACCAGAGTGTCACTGCTACAGAGGATTTAAACATGCCTAGTGTCATGGTTGCTACAGGAGACATTAAATTTCAGTTCTGTGTCAAGCACTCTCAGCTGCTGACCTACAAAAGATACAAAGCCCCTTTGTTACCAGCTAATCTGCATTTTATCAGGCCTTTTGCTTTATTTTCTAGCATAAGAACTTTTGACGGGGTCATATCCTTAACAAGCTACTCCATATTTCCCAAGTAACTTGCCCTTTAATAGTACTGTACATTAAAAAAAAAAACAACCAATCAAATGCTCTTCTTTTGATTTCATTACTTTAGAATACGAGATACTGATCATACTGCTTAATTATGCAGTGTTTCTTCCACTTCAATCTTTGGTACTAATGAAAACAAAAAATCAACACATACACAAACAAATCCATGTTTCCATACCCAAATAATTCTGTATTACCGACTGCTGTACAGCTGTCAGCCCATTCAGTCAGCTGACAGAACTGCACAGCCAGTTCAGAGAAGCACAAGTTGGACCTAATAAAATACAAGGAGCATCTAGAAAAGGTACTCTTTTTGCTCCAGGCCAATTCCAGGAATTTGCCCAGATCTCAAAAAAATTGCATCCAGTAACAGAATTTTGGAATATGCCAATATGATAACTCTGTAATTCGTAAGCAAGTAAAATAAACAAAAATTAAAGTTTATGCCAACTTCAGATGCGAAGTCTACACTTATTTCTTTAATAATAGGAAGACACAAGCTGCAAGTTACACTTCTTAAATTTAAACAAAGTTCAGCGATCAAATTAAAAACTAATAAACAAAAAGCTCCTCTATTTAGACTCTTTTGTCAAGAAAAATCAAGAACAATGAGGAACACCACATCTCAGTATTTTTTTCCTGGCATTCTCTCATCTCCTCTCGTTACAGTAACATAAACCTAGTTATAGGCTATTTATGGCAGAAGGTTTTTTAATGCTTAATTATTTTTCTGTATGTTGAGAAAAGGAAGCAAAGTAAACTCCTAAATGTTTAGGAGTGTCAAACTCTCCATCCACGTCTCTGAACTACAAAGGGCCCTATACCTAGAAATTCTGCCCCTGACAGCACACGTCGCAGTTCCTTTCAGTTCCATGGAGGACATTTCATAGCAACTTCTCCCTTTTAAACTAGGGAGCAGCATCCATGTTCTGTAATCTTAGACTGTATCCAAGTCTGGAAAAACTAGCAGGGAAGAGGCACGTCACTGGCTGGAAAATCAGTACAGAATACTGAACAAACAGGCCTCCTCAGAGCTTGCAGCTTCTCAGAAGCAACATTCCAGGCTACCAAGAAACATTCACATTGCGAAGTGTTGTGGACACCGTGCCACTGTTTCAGAGGAAAAACACAGCTCCATCTGTCACAGGGTCTGATTCTGCAGCACAGCTGCCACTGACACTTGGTTAGGAAGTGCAGCTGGAAACGGTCACAAAAAAGCAAGCAGCAAGTGAAAACCCTTAATTACTTCTATTTGGGCAAACTACTTCCTCCTTTCCTCTTCCTCACTTTTTACAAAATGTTTCAAGAGCAGGACAAAGTGTTTATAACTCAGAACTGCACAGAGCTTCATTTTCAGTAAAGAAAAGCTTCAGAGACACAAGCACATAAAACATGACTGGCACAATTAAGCTGTCTGAACATGTACTTTTCATGCACCACAGCCAACTACACAAGAGTTATTCATCTACTGTTGAAGAATGTTTAAGTGGCAAGATCACCAATAAAGTACTTGGCCACACTATGTGCAGGAGGTCAAAACCATATCATCAATAGTGGTCTCTTCTGGCTTTACTTTTCAGGATATCATCAAATTCAAACCTGCTTGACTCTTTTCATAAAGGCACAGTGTCTAAAACTGTCTCGGGTGATAAATACGATTGTATCATCAGACAGAATGCCAGATTTGAATAGCACTAGGCATCTCATGAGTGAAAGCTGCCTGTCCAGTTTTCAGCAATGCAACTGCATTAACTTGTATTTTGTATTAACACTGAAATTAGAGATACTTTGCTATCATAGTTTGGCTAATTCCCTTTCTAAGTCTCCTAGGGCTCATAACTGTACAAAGTACAGAACAGATAAGTCAGCTAGACGTCTCTTTGGATTGCTGACTTGTGTTAGTGACCGACAAGCTAATCGGTAACTGGATTTCCTGGTCTCCCCTCTCTTTCATGGACATACGCTTCATAAGCACACACCTATCTACAAGAATCACAAAGGAAGACAGACATCCCTATACTTAACACATACTTCCTAGAATTTTTTAATGTATATTACATGGTATTTAATGATAATCGTTCCCTTCCTCCTTGAAGCACCAGCACAGGCAATATATCAGGCAACAAGATTTCATTAATAATTTTAATGAAATGGTGGACTAGGTCTTGATTAGCACTACAAATACAAGAAATTGCACAGCAAAAGGTAAGGCTGAAGATGCAGGTAACAGACACTGTATAAATCCTTTCTTCCCATCAGGACTTAACACTGATCACTTAAACATGACTTACGTAAGACAGTAAGCTGTCAACAGACTACACAGAACAGTGTATTTGATCTGGTGTCCTCAGCAAATGTTGGAGATGCCCACAACATCACATCTTAGCTGTTAGTAAAAATTAAGAGGAAGTGAGGGAAGGAGAATTAAACACATTAGAAGACACCAAAGTAAAAAGCAACCCAGATCTACACGCATTTTAAAATACAAAACAATGGAATTAAGCTTTTCTCCCTGCCCTCCTGTCCCCAATTTAGCCAAGATGAGTAACTGTTTGAGAAGGCACATGTGGCTTTAAGTGTGCATACAGGGAGGAGTTCAGTCCTACCAGCTTACACCCACACCTAAGCTACTCTGTAACAACTTCTTCACAGTGGTCAAAAATGACCAGGAAGGAAATAGCTGCTCCTTAATGTTAGCATTTTGGTCACCAAATCCTGACATATAACGCACTTAAGCGTCCCTCTTTACTACTAGAGCAACTGGAACACAGAAGCAAGACATGCTACTCTTTAGATTAAAGAAAACAAACTAAACAAAAAACCATACCTAAGGATAACATCCTTTCGCACATCCTGAAAATAGACTGAAAAGTACTCATTAATCAAAGAGAGGAAAGGAATGAGGGGAAAACTAACCTTAACATAGAATCAAGCCTGGAATTCATAGCCTTCCCACTGTCATTTCACTATTTGTGGAAGCAGAGAACAAATATATACCCCACAGTAATACTTTAGGGTTGAATTAATGTTTGCAAGGCACTTACGAGCAAGTTTTACTTCCATTTAAAAGTTAGATGGGAAAAGAACTAACTCCTCTTACCATATCCAACTGGATCTGGAAACCTCTTGCACTTAAGACATTTTAAAAAGTCCCCTATCCCCTTTTTTACTTTATGAAGTATTGGTAACAGCTTTGTTTTATAGACTACCACAGTTATGGTAAGTTTCAAAGCATGACATTTCACTTTGGACAAGAAGCCCCTCTGTCAGGATGCGTATCTTCTACAAGCAAAAACAAGTGGCTCTGAGCCATTTACAATAGTAAATGAAATATATTCTTACAGCTGATATATATCACTAAAAGCTTAGAAAGGAGAAGGTGCTGAGCAACACAGTCAGAGGAAAAAAAAATATATATAAATATATATCTCCTTTAAAAAGCTCTGTCACTCCTCTCCTTCCTCACCCCCTCTACTTGGATATGGTTGACATTTGCAAATAAAGCTGACGGGGTACGTTTTTAACGCAAGCGTGTTTAGCGGATATTTTCAGGAATTTGCGGTAGATGTCTTCACCAGGAAGAAGGACCTGGAATCACTTAAACTAAGGAAGAACAGTAGTAAGGAAAAGGAAACACATGATCAAAAGCTACTAAATCTAGAAACTCCTATAGTAAAATATAACTGTAATTAAATTAGAACATAAAAAACAAACCCCAGATCAAGAAGCCAACAACCGTGGTTCCACCTAAGCGCAAATCTAATTGGAGTAACAGTGATCATCAGAATGTGAACTATATACATAAGACATGATTTTATAAAACATACAAGTAGTTACCCTTAAAATATGAGAAGGAGTCCAGGCAGGAAGATTCCAAATTTTGCATAAAGTGTGGTCATCCAAGAGTCTTGAACTATTCAAAAGTCCAAGCCATCCACCGAGGTAGGACGATGAGACTTTAGGGAAAAAATTAGAGGAATATTTCATCACTATGAGATTTCTTTAGGAACAGTATTAAGCACATAGTCCAATACAACTTACTAAATGATTAGCACTAAATCCTATTAAAACAGTTAAACTGAAACAAGAAAGACTGAAGTTCATAAATGCACTGAAATAAGAGGATGTAATCATTTTACCTAAGAACATGTGGAAGGTGGAAACTATCTTTCAGAGATTATCTACAGAAGAGAACACTGATCCTCCAACCGTAAGCTTTAGCATAAGAATTTGCATCAATACCTCTTCAAGTTACTATACACTAATTTACACTTACAATCATCTCAGAAATCATGCATCAGGAGAGCCAATATCATAAACCATAAAGAAACACATTTCAAAGTTATCCCCCAATAATTACAGAATGCAAAAGGAGTTCAACTTTTAGACTCAGACTTTCATGAAGAATTAGTCCCCAAAGCGCTCCCCAGCTTTCCTCATTTTCATCAACATACACTAAATCTCTATGAGAAAACAGCAGGCACAATGTCTTATGACTGCATAAAATATCCAATGGAGTATCACTTTCACCAGAACCCTGATAAAGCAACATCTGCAGTTTGCCAACAGGCACACAGATTAAATCACGGATTAGATCAAGGAGTTGGAAACTCAGGGAAACCCAAAGAGCTGAAGTGACAGTAAACTATGGGATAGGTTAGCAGATACAAAAAGAATTTTGTGATCCATGCTCTTGAGGTCTCAACTCCATCTGGAGAATGTAAATTTTTTAATTCCAAGAACTAAAACCCTTACACAGCCTAACAGCCTACCTTCTGGACTGTGTATTACATTTGTGTCTACCTGATACACATACCTTACCAATTCAACGTGAGAGCAAAGATCAATAGTACACAGACGTATTCCTTCATGATCAAGAACTAAGAATTTTGAAGTTATTTTTAAAATAACACATGGTAAAAGCCAGCCTCATACTTAGAGAGATGGAGAAATAAATGAATACAGTTCATTTAACATAGTAACTCATAGCCTGATGCTAGCAAAAGGCTCCTCTGTTTACAGAATCTTGGAACAGAAGAGAAGCCATAACGCAGCAGTAAAATGCCCATGACCTAATAATGCCAAATCTAACCCACAGTAATATAACTACAGTAATATCTCCCTCCTCCTTCTAGAAGCTGGCTTCTTTCCTAGCATAAGGAGATCCGTGCCATTTGTGATTAAAAATATAAAATAAAAACAACTAGGCAAATGAAACAGCAAGAATTCAAAAGGGCACTGTTGAGGCTTATTAAAGTGTATTTGTTAAGTTACAGTACAAAGAGTACATCTTTCATATTATATAAAACATGTAATAGAACAAATATTTAGAGTATGAAGTCTAACTTAACAGTAAAGAACCCTAAGAAAGCTAACAAGCACACTGAAACATTAAGAAGTTTTAGGTTCCAGTACCTGAGGGGAAAAAAAAAAAAGCCAAACTTCATTAAAGAAAAAAGATCCCGTTCACTGTATTTTAAAAGTATGACCTCTTGCTAGAAAAAGCTGAAATTCAAGGAGTTTCTGAATTAAATTCATTTATTATATACTTTAAGGGACTTCTACAAAATTGACCGCTGAGGTTATGCTTTTTCCCCTATGTGATTTCACACTAGGATACGTGACAAGAGGAAGTACAGAGGTGCAGTTACTAGGTTTCATTTTTATAATCAGCTTTTTTTTTAATTATACTAAAACACATGGTAGCTGTAAATGAGGATGTTAGATGTGCAGCAAAAAAAAAATAAAAAATTGCCCCTTCTCTTCTGTTGTTTTCCCTTGCAGTTTTCTAGTATGCGTTTATAGGTCACTTTAGAAACCAGACACAGCACTCATTTCAATGTTCATAGTATTTTCTGTATTGCGGTTAACTTAAGAACTGCTTGAACTAAAGGACCTTGGCTGAATCAAAAAATAAGGAAGAAAACGACTGCACAGGGCTCCTACCGACAGTTTTGGTTTGCTCCAACATAGCTTGAAAAATTCCAGGCCTATCTAGGGCAGAAATTATTACCTGTATCTATTAATGAGGTGAACTTAGGATATGCATAGAAAAGACTAGGCTCATGCTCCAGCCTTACTCGTCTACTAGCAATCCAGACAAACATACGCACTTACTGAGACAAACAAGAACAGCAGTTATTAAAAACGTGAACTGCACCAAACACACAAGACCACTTAATAGCGATTAAGAGGTAGCGATCACGCGTACCAGAATTAAAAAGCAGCGGTTCTGAGAAAGTCTCTTTTCTGCCACCCTCCCTACAGCTCCTATTCCGAGCGCACAAGTCCTAGTAACACCCAAAGGAGCCTGCCACCATTTGGCCTTTGTGGAAAGAGACTAGTTGGTACTTCCTGCACCTCCCCCCGCAGCAATGGGCAGCAGTAACCAGAGACAACCTTGGGCTTCCTGAGCTGCGAAAAGTTACACTCCTCCCCCTTCCTCCGCCCCGGCTTACCAGAGACCCCGGCCAAGCTAATTATAACTGCGCGAACAACTTCCATCGCCGTCCCTGCGCCTCACGCCCGGG